GGGGATGCGAGCAGGGGATGCGAGCAGGGGATGCGAGCAGGGGATGCCGCCGCCCCCAGGCCGCCCCTTACTTGTAGTGCTCCTCCCGCGCCAGCAAATCGCCGCTTACCGCGCCGCTCCCGGCGGGCTCCGAGAGGCCGCCCGGCGCTCTGCACACCTGCAACGAGGGCGACTCAGCGTGCGGCCCGCACCCTCTGCACTGCGCCGCTTCCCGCCTCCCCGCTCGTCGCCCTGCGCCCAAACCGCTGCCTTACCCGCGACGGGCCGCTGCCGCCCGCCGCCATTTTATTCGCGCGCAGTCTGCCGCGCGGCGTTGCTTTCTCCACGGCAACCGGCCGTCCCCGCTCGTCTCCCGTCCTCTCCGCCGCTGTGGGCCGAGGCACGGCTTTCTTTTCTCCCCGCCGCATTCCGTAGCCCTTGGTTTCGAGCGGCGGCCACATTTCAGACCTTGCTGCCAAGTGGAGAAAGTGCAGCGATTGGCCGCACGTCCCCTCTCGCGCACCGTGTGGAAGCCCTCTCGCAGAGCCCCCAGCTCTGACCAGAGGCCCCAGTATGTCACTGGGCTGCCGGCCATTTGGGCGAGAGAGAAGAGACGTGGTCTGAGGTGCCATTATACACGACATTCTACTAAATCTTTATTACTTCTCTTCCCTTTGAACCTTTTGGTTTTGCCTGTGGTTCCGTCATTGTTCCGTAGTGGCAGTTGTTTCAGTCCTACCCCATGGATTGTTCTTTTGCTCTCTCATCTGTGTGCTTTATGGTCTCTTTAGCCTTGTCTTCTTGTTTTTCACCTCCACATTGTTTCGTTTCATTGCTTTTCTCCGTGTCTCCCACTGCTTCATTCCCTTTTTCACACGTGGCTCTCCCCCTCATCTGCTCATTCAGTGATGTTTCCTCTCACATGTTTCTAGATGATGATGCCCCTCTGTGCGATGGTTGATTCCCTCACTGGGAGCCCCTCAGTCCTGCACTGATCCGTACGCTGCAGCTCTGAGGAAGAATCAGAAAAGCACCATACTGAGCAGCATGGAGTTCCAGGGTCAGAGGTACGGATCCAGATGGCCTTAACAGGGTCAGTTCATCAGCATTTATGTCTGTCTTTGCACACAAACATACATACAGCCACATATGCACCAGGGGAGATTCTGGTTGGATGTTAGAAAGTACTGCTTCTCTGAAAGCATGGTCAGGTGCTGGAATGGGCTGCGCAGGCCGGTGGTGGAGTCACCAACCTGGAAGTGTTTAAGGAATGTTTAGATGTTGTGTTCAGGGATGTTGTTTAGTGAGAACTATTGGTGATAGGTGAATGGTTGGATGGGATGATCTTGTAGGTCTTTTCCAACCTTGGTGATTCTTCTTATATGTATATCTGGATATCTATATAGCAACAGTAATACAGCTCTATACATTGAATTATATAGACTGTGATTTCAATGAAGAAATTTGCAAGGGGGAATTCATAAAGGCTTGCTTGACTGAACATAGAGGCTCTGTGCATAGCTGAAGGCTTTCTGTGGAAGTATTAGTTGAAAAAACAGAAGTGCATGGAGAAGATGACAGAGACATGAAGTGTAATGGGATAAATGGGAATGAAATGAAAGACAGGACAAATGTGATTAGCAGAAGGCAAAAAACAAACAAAACAAAACAAAAATGGTTAACAATATAGAAAATGAAAGTCCTTGAGGGTAACATTGGTATTGATATGGGAGAATAAGTTGAGCCTTTGAAAAAAAGTTACAGAGCTTCGGGGAAAAAATAATCAGCTAAGAAGTCAATCCATTACAGTTATTTTTTTGACTGATAAGAATAGCAATAGGTTAGTGGTGGCCTTTTAAAAAATGACATGCTTAACTCACGGAGTTAAGCTTTTGATTGGGAGAAACAAGGAAGAGAGATAGCAACTGTAAAAACCAGACCTCCACAGAGGGAAGGATAGATTTTGTTAAGTAGTAAGTTGTTTAATCTCTCTTAGAATCAACATCATAATCTCTATAAATTAAGATTAACCCTCTATAGTGAGATATTGGAGGAATTTAAGAGAAACAGAGGAGCTAGAGAATGACAACAAGGGTAGTAGGATGAAAGCTATAAAGACAGACATGCTCTTTCCAAAGGCAATTAATACTTCGGGGGGGGGGGGGGTCCCCAAAGTAGAGTATTTTTTTCTTTTTTTCCAGACTGGAATATTTTAGAAATATAGCTGCTGGTTTTGAAGCTCTTATTCGATAAAGCTGTACAGTCGTGGCAGGCTAAAAATGCCAAAAATATCAGCTAGAGGATCTCCAGTAGCTAGATACTCAGGCAGCAAAATCACTGGTTGAAATTAAAGAGATTAGAGTCAGTAGTTTTCTAGCCAGCTTTTAGCTAACTTAATAAACAAAAGAGGGGTAACTTGTTATATCATAAATGATTAAATATGTTAACAGTGCAACACAGCATTCTCTTTGTGTAAAGCCTATGGGAATGATAACATAAACGTATACTAGGATTGCAGATTTGCACATTTTTCTATGATTCAGAACATGATTTATTTAATATGATTTATTGAAATATTTAAATCCAATCAGTACTGGATTTAAAATTCAACTACCTTTATTTGAAATAATATGAAAAGATTAGAATGTTTAGATAAGTATTTATTAAGTGAACTTTTAAAGTATTTCTCCAGAGACTTAGGAAACAGAAATAAGAGATTGTGTTATATTCTTGATCCCTTCATGTTTTATCACTTTTATGTTGATTTCATGTGACCTTAACAGTCGTGGTTAATTCTATAATACTTAGCTGGTAACTGGGTAGAGAATAGGCTTATATCAAAGAGGACAGCCAATAGCAAGATACATACAGAGCTTGAAAAATTTATCATGTTTATCTGCAAAAAAGCACTTGAAAACCTAGCATTGGTACGGTCTGAGATTTATCTAGCATTTTTTGTTCATAGATTTCCAGTTTCCATTCACAGAATCACCCCCAGAATCACAGAATCACCCGGGTTGGAAGGGACCTCAAGGATCATGTAGTTCCAACCCCCCTGCCTAGCAGGGCCACCAAACACACACATTCAGATCAGGTTGCCCAGGACCCCGTCCAATCTGGCCTTAAACACATCCAAGGACGGGGCATCCACAACCTCCCTGGGCAGCCCGTTCCAGGGCCTAACCACTCTCCTTGTATAGAACTTCCCCCTAACATCCAACCTAAATCTTCCCTCCTAAAGGGAGGATTCATTTATTTTCAGAAAAAAAAAAAGGATTTTTTCAGAAAAATCATTTTTCAGAAAAAATCATTTTTCAGAAAAAATCAGAAAGGATTCATTTATTTTCAGAAAGTTAACTTAAGCATTGTGATTGTGATATCAAAATGTTTTTGTCATTTTGAAACAAAATGGCGATTTTGAATGGATCAATACCTGCCATCATTTTGAGCTGTTGCTGGGACCTATTGCTAGTATCTCTCCATCATCAAAAGTAGCACGTCTTCATTCTGTGGTTTTTAAGTGTTTCATATTTATTTTAGAAGGTTTCAGTAGGTCTCAGAATTACATGGCTCTAACAAAAAAGCATGCATTACAAGTTAAGTGGTCGCTGTGTTGTTGATCTTTCAGCAAAGGAGCAGGTAGATCATAGAATAAAGGAGCTGAATAAGTATAGCCGGTAGGAGTGGTTTAGAACAGAAGGCTGTGAATAGCTATTGTGTTAGAATAGTTTATTGCAGAAGACAGCTGAGGATCAATATACAGTGTTTATTTTTTATTAGAACAAAGAACAGGCATTATTTAATTGTTACCTCTGGCCCTCTTCTGCAGGCACTAATTTTGTAATCTTCCTTCCCTCCTCCAATAAAAATATGAAAACCTAACTTTATATATATACCTGAATTTATATATTGAGCTTTTCTCTTCAACATTTTAGATACATTTTTTGTTCATAGTATATTCTTATTGGCTTAGTGTCTTCATTATTCATTATGTAGACTTTTCCACACCTCTCCTGAAAGTTGTGACATTTTGCAGGAACCTGAATACTGTCAACAGCTAACGCTGTGGGAAGACACATTATTTCCATGTATGTGCTCATTACCTGTCAGAAACAGGCAGACTAGAATTTTAGGGCAACATATTCACAATAGTATTTTAGGACAAGATATTCTTCCACAAAAATCATTGTAAATGCAGGTTAGAGAGCCAGCAACTGATGCAGCTACTCAGGTTGGTTTGGTTTTGTTGCTTTTTTAGGCCCATGCTGAACAAATAAATAGCATAAGTAACATCACGTATGTGCACAAGTCTCACCATTTTTAGACCAATAATCACATTAAGGGTTTTATGTATTGTTTTGCTTGCTAATGTGGTAGAACTAAATTCAATTCAATTCATATATGAGAGGCCTGTAGTAAAATACCACCTCTGTTGACTCCAACTCTAGAAGGAAATGGCTTTTACAGGACTCACTGCTGTCTGCTGCACCCTCCATACTAGGAAAGAGGGATGCTTTACTGAGGCAGTAAAACACAAAGTGTATCATTCTCATATGTATGCAAGTTTCTTTGACCAGGACAGCCTGTACTGCTTAGATTACCCTGCTCTGGGTAAGCACTCATGAATAGAGTGTTTACTGTACTATGTTTACATTCTCAGTTCTGAATACTGTTACTTTTCTCAGTCAACACCCACGTTTTTAGGCAAGTGAATCCAAAGCAATCCAATCTGCTCTCAAAGAAGCTCTGTATTCCTGGGGCTGCCTCTTGCAGCACTGTACCCCACAACACTGCCATATCTTGTCGTGCACGTGACATAAGCTGCCGTTCACACCATGCCTCTTATCTGCATGCTTCACAAGCAGGGCATGCACAGGGAGCCTCGTACAGAACAAAAACCACAGCCTGAGCAGGCTGAACCAAGCAATAGGGAAGTAAAGCAGAGACTGGCTGACTGCAGCACACACAGACAGGCAAGGGGTGTAAAGTTAGCAGGCAATTTTTGTCTACCATCTATCTGTCTAGCCTTCCTAACTGTACCACAGCTTAAGTGTATCACTGTAACCTAAGCCAGTGTAACACTTACATCCCACTTCACACTACAATAGTTTTCGTGTTTTACATTTCTGCTTCATTTTTCTACCTCCAATTGTCTAGAGGGGTAAAAAGGAAAAGGATAATTTTTGAGTCAATTGTAAGTGAAATTCAATACTTTCTTTTCTGAAAAGTCAATTTTTATTTTTATTTTTTAGCTCCAAATACCTTAATTTTTACTTTCAAAGATACAGTTGGTATTTTGTATTTCTATTGTGTGAAGTTCTTCAGTGGAAATAACAACCAATCCTGAACTCTCCCCCAGATCAGACTGATTTTAATAAAATACATAATTCTTGTCCAATTACAGAGAAAATAATAGTGCAAACTCATTTTCAGACATGAGTGGAGTGGTAAGATCTAGACGATGTGTAGCTATTAAATCAATAATCCAGACATGGAGGGAATTCCTCAGACAGCTGCTGTGTTGTTTTTTTCCCTAATCAGTAATAATAATCCAGCAATGTTTGAAATGCCATAATTGCATATCTGAACAGAGTCTTATGCTGATATTTTCTCCAATATCCAATTCCAATGCCTCTCTAAATTGTAAAGAAGACCAAATATTATCAATAGCTTTGTGTTTCCTATGAAAAAGCTGCTAGCTGTTTGGATATATGAAGTCTGCAAAAAATCTTTGGACTTGCCAACAGATATCCTAGAACGGTTTACTGTCAGTTTAGCCTGTTATTGCATGTTTTGTAGGATGACACTAATGGGTGTTAGTTGTTTATGCATTAAGTGTTGTGTAGCAGAACACACAGAAGAGGTATGCATGAACCAAGAACATGGGTTTCAAGGGACAAGAGGTCTGGGGGATGGGCAAGCTGTCCTAATAAGTTTTTTCCATCTCCACTGCCTCCAGTTCTGCTTTCATATTGGTTTCAGTTTGGTGGAAATGTTTATTCTGCTTCTAGTGGCTTTTTATACGTAGCTATACAATATCTAGTTGCTAGGCTATTCTGAATTATTT